TAATGAATTTGAATTAATGCTTGGTTATCAAGCTATAGAATTATGTTATTACAGGCTATCCTGAAGGCCATCCTGATTCTGATAATAAAGCTCAAGATTTACGATATCTCAAAGAAAAGGTTGATGCTGGTGCTGATTTTATCATCACACAATTATTTTATGATGTGGATCTGTTTATAGACTGGGAGAAAGAATGTCGTAAAATTGGTGATCATTAATTATAATATTTGGGCCTTAAAAATAGAAAGATTTCGTCTGGTTTTGTTCAAATCGAGTAAGTAATTAGTTAAGGATTTCCGAATATATTTTCGTTAAAACTAGAGTTGTTGGTGAAACTAAATCATGCTGGTGTAACTGATGACTATCTAAAATCTGATTGGCTATTAAATGCAATAGCAAATCAGATTTTAAATAGTCATCATTTCACCAGCAACTCTATGTACACAAAAATTGAGATGTCTTGGTTAGATTTATCCAGATGTTTAGCTTTCCATTTTTAAGGCCCTATTCATTTAAATCTCAATATATATTAACTAATGTTAGTAATCGACAATAATTAGGTATAACTGTGCCCATTATTCCTGGTATTATGCCAATTCAGGGTTATAACAGCTTTCGGAGAGTTACAAATCTTTGTAAAATAAATATACCAGCAAATGTATCGAAAGCTTTGGAACAAATTAAGGTTAATATATTTATATAATGCTGTTGATTATAATACTAGTTGATATTGATGTCTTTTTATTTTTAGCACGATGATCAAGCTATAAAAGATTATGGCGTGTCACTTGCAATAATTATGATCACTACATTATATGAACAATATAACGTTAAAGGGTTCCACTTTTGTACATTGAATTTGGAAAAATCCGTACGGTTAATATTAGAAAAACTGAGATTTGTACCAACAGAGGAAGAAAGAAATTTGAGACGCTCTAATAAACGAAGACCTAGCATTGGATTCGTCACTAATGACATTATTAGACAGGTGCATGAACTACTCTTGAGTAATATCTTAATGCATTAATAACCTTTATGGTAATTAATAGGAGCCTGATGGATCGTTGCCTGCCGCAAAACCTATTATATGGAAAGAACAGAGCGAAGACTATTGGGGGCGATCGGATGATTGGGATAATTTTCCAAATGGTCGTTGGGGCAATTCAAAATCACCTGGTGCTTGTGATAATTTTTTTCATGTAGGATTTCATTTTATTGCCTGTTATGGTTAATATATATTCATACATATATTTCATTTAAGCATTCGGGGAATTGGATGTTTACGGAACGTCTTTGAGGATTTCAGTAAGAATTGAAATTGTTATAATTATTATATTTTCGTGCATTTCTTGCTAATTACTACAAATAATTTACAGAAAGACCAAGCTCTGGAATATTGGAGAGAACCTAAAACTATAGCTGATATTATTCAAATTTTCAAGTCATATATTTTATGTGAAATACCTGTATTTCCTTGGTCTGAGGAACCTTTGTCAGAAGAAACAGAAGCAATTCGTCCAAATCTTATTAAACTTAATGAATTTGGTTATCTAACAGTAAGTTCACAACCAGCTGTTAATGGAGTTAGAAGCGATGATGTAAACTTTGGTTGGGGTCCAAAGGGTGGATATATATATCAAAAATTTTTCGTTGAATTTTTTGTAAGCCCAGAAATGTTTGATAAATTAATTAAAGTGATCGATGATAATTGCTGGGTTACATATTATGCTGCAAGGAGGAACGTAAGTATATTTTTTGAGTAGACAACTAACATATATATCCTTGTAGAAATTAATTTGATTTTTGATAGGATGAGTTTAAAAAAAATGTGAAAGAAGAAACATCCGCTGCTGTCACATGGGGTGTGTTTCCTGGTAAGGAAATTGTTCAACCAACCATCATTGAAGAAGTATCATTCAAGGCTTGGAAAGTAAGTGTAAAAGTATTTATCGGTAAGAAATGATTTTGTATTTATTTTATGTCTATTATTAAAAATATGTTTAACAATTAAAAGGAAGTGGCTTTTGAATTATGGTCTGAATGGGAATGTCTATATCCAAAAGATTCGATAACACAAAAATTATTAAAAGATATAGGTGATAATTGGTGGTTGGTTAATCTTGTGTATAATGATTATGTAAACCCAGAAGGCGTTTGGAAAATTTTTTGGCAATGAGTAAATTAAAATCTGATTCTGAAAAAGTGTATATTATAGAACTTATGGGCTTTTTTTCAATTTTTGATCGAACGACTCACTAACTCTGTTCATAAGCTGTTGTATTTTTAACTTATTGAAAATTTTGTATTCTTATATAATAAATATTTCTTATCAAATTTATATGATTTTATTTATCGAGTTATTAAGACCCCTGCTTATTTAAAATTTATAAAAATTTGAAGTTTTCATAATTATATTTCACCAATAACTTCTTCGAGAAGTTTTCTGCATCTAACTCTAGAACCCAGTTTGGCACAAAGTAAGAATGCACCTGATAATTTTCTATGTAAACTATATGTCTCATCAGGTGGTGGTGTAAGCCTATACTTCAGCATTGTAGGAATCAAATTCCTTACTCTGTTTGTAATTGTTTGTTTTGAAAAATCATATATTGGTGTTGTAAATGGCTCTCCTAGTGTCAAAATAGAATCAACATGCGCATTCTTCATAACCTAATAATTAGTTTACATTGAAATTGTAATAGTAATTATCAAATAAAAATTACGAATGATAAGTAATTTATGAGAATTTTACCTCACTTTCATATCCGGTCAAAAAACCTATTTGTTCTGAATAATATGCGCAACCTTCCCTATCACTTTTAGCAGCTGATTTTAAGATTTTTAAATAATGGTCTATAAACGTGTTATCGAAACTTCTACTTGCCCCAAAATCTATTAACTCAATCTGTCAAAAAGTTTTATTAACATAAGAACTGGAAATAAAGACAATTGTAATAGTAATTAGATTAAGCATGCATGCCTTCTTTGTCTTATTGTTGTAGAAGAAATTAGTCCAATTTGGATCAGTCTGCATGAATTTAAATTCAAACAGCTCACGCAAACAAAGATATAATATATTTTCTCCAATCTATTACAAGACAAAAAAAAAAAAGAAAAATAAATAAATAAATAAATAAATGGCAACAAAGAAAAAATTACATTATTTTATCACCAACCTGATCTCTTAGTTCCTGATCATATACTACAGCATGTGTTAAGGGCTCTCCCATCATTCTTTCACAAACCAAAACCATTTTTGTTGATAACTCTTTAACTACTTGTGGAACAACAAAATTTTTATCATTTTTTAATAATGTTTGAAACTTTTCCACACACTCTGCTTCCCTGATATAATCAGTTTCCCATAGTAGCTCCTTTCTTGCAACTTTAATAGTATTATCAAGATAGAGACCCCTTGGTAATAGATTACTAACTTTTATTAAAGTCCTTAAATTGTCGAGATCAGAATCAATTGAAGCAACAATACCAGGATATTGAACTTTAATAGCTAACTTCATTTTATTTGATGCAAGCTCAGCACTGTGTACTTGTCCTATAGAAGCTGCAGCTATTGGAGTTGAATCAAAGTAAGAAAAATTTTCACGCCAATTTTGACCAAGTTCTGCCAACATTATTTTCTATAGTAAGTTTACAAATTAATAAAGAATTTTTAGACGTAACAAATTAATTGAATTCGAGAAAATTTATAAGTATTTGATAAATTACTTCCATCTGCCAATTTGGCATGTAATTAGCGCTATCTTGAACTTTTAATATAAGTTTCTCTAATGGATCTGGTAACATATCGTTACCTACAAAATAAATTTGAATTATTATAAATTAATAATTGAAATATAATGATAGGAAAAGGTTTACCTTGAATACTCAACATTTGCCCCAATTTCAGTGCAGCACCTCTCATCCTTGATAGCTTGTTAACCAAACGATCTATATTGGCTTCGTTTATAAACACAGAACTAGCTGATATCAAACAAAAAAAATAGTTGTCAAAACAAATATAATGAAGAAATGAAACCTTTTACTGAAGTGAAAATCTTTTAACTTTTTGCATCAGAAACACCAGTAGCCCTTCTAATAGATTCACTGAGAGCACCAGCTCCTAATCCAATGGCCAAACCTTTATAATAAAGTATTTCTTACAATTATAACTAATAATAGATGATTTATTAAAGAGTGGATTTTTACAAAGATATACCGCCATAATGGAACAATCTAGAAACTTTAGTATTTGGCATTTTAGATTCTTTGAGTACTCTAGGCATCTGCATTTGAATTGAAGTTAGAATTAGTAATATCAAAATTTTTCTGAGAATTAAAGTTGAATTTTTAATGCTTACCTTCGTTTCGTGAATGGTTTCTGGTGACGTTTTGACAGAGGAATTTTCAAGTATTGACGTATGGCTTGATACTACAACATCTTCATACTTTAGCTTATCCTCTGTTTCTTATTAGAAATAATATTTTAACATTAATGGAGTAACTGTGGATGACATATGGAATAAAAAAAAAAAAAAAAAAAAAAACCTCGTTCAACCTCATTATCTGGTCTATTTTGATGTACAGGCTCTTTGTATGTTGGCTGATATTTAACTGACCACCGCCAATTTGATGATTTTAAAATGATATTGGTGTTAGTTACTTGAAGTTTTAGAAAATTTGATGCTACTTTTGTACACGCATTTATAACACCAAAAGTATCTGCTATTCTTTTTGAAGACATCTCTAATGGCACAATTCAATCAAAGCCGATATAAATGTTATAATCTCAATTAGATTTAACTATCGCTATAAATTGATAAGCTTAATTTAAAAAGAAACGAATAAGATGTGGATATTGCCAATTCTGGGAAAAATGAGTATGTGTACGTACGTATGCACGTGTGCTCTAGTAATCGTTTTTTTTTTTTTTTTTTTTTTAGAATATAGAACTTAAATTTTCTGACACGTATATTTTAAATTTTTAAATTTTTATTGGATGATCAGAAATGTGAATTAACACAGAAATTCATATTCTTGAAATAAGGCGAGTTTATCTTTATTGTTTCCGATCTGATTTATTAGGATTATATGTCCGGTAATTTATAAATTTAAAAGGCCCGTTTCCCTCTACTACTATAATGATAAATCAATTCTATATGTGTAAATGAGTGTCGCTAAAAGAAAACCCGAAAATTTATATATGACTTATGTATATTTAAATTTTCGGGTTTTCTTTTAGCGACACTCAAATATACTTTAATTCTTTTAACTTAAAAAGTTTATAGAGTACTAGACAGTAAAAATATATTTATTTACTTTTTATTAATAAAAACTTTAATCATTATAATTTTTTTAAAACAAACCAAATCAAAAAACTTTTATGCAGATAATTTAAATAAATTATTCATTTATTCTTATTCAATATATATCTTTATGTTAATCAATTGAATTATCAAAGATAAGCTAACAATCATTTGATTTGTTTATATTCAATTTTTTGTATTGATTTAATCGATATTTCAATTGGTTATTCAGAGACAAGCTAATACTAACTTGGTTTTTTATCCAATACGATCGAAGTTTGGATTTTTCTTCTCACGTTGACATAGGTAAATATAATTTACAAGTGTAATGTTATTATTTTTATTACTTTAGAAATTCCGGTCGAGCGGTTTGATTTTTTTTTATTAATCTAAACTAATAGAAAAAATTTCATGAAGCTAAAGTCTTTTAATTTCGAAAGGCATTCTACTTGTTCAGGTACTATAACCATGATTTCAAGTTCTTTAATTAATTTTCGAATCAATTAAATTGTAAGGCATTATAAAACTATGTTGAGTTTAAGCCTATCGGTAACTTACAGAGTACAAGAGTAATTTGCAGCTGTAATAGATATGCACTAATCCGTTATCCAGTTTAAATACTGAAATTAGTGTGTTATAGTGAATAGACTTTATCAAAATTGGAATACTAATCGAATGATTTATCTTTATGTCAGAGGTTGTTATCAATATGAAGCTAGAAACGACAGCCCTAGATAGACCCGGGTTTACATATTTATCGTAGACCTAATTGTAGCTTTAAAAAATTATTTGTAAATTCAGCAATCAAAAACGAACTACATTAGGCCATACAAACTTATATTTTCGGTTTTCATATCACCAACTGACCTCTCATGACCCGCCAACCCGGATTTTAATTTTTTTTAAAGAAATTTTTATAATAAAAAAAATTATTTATGAATTTTATTGTCTCACACCGGGTACTTGGTAAAAATTTCATATGTAAAAAAAATTTAATAAAGCAATATAAGCTTATATTATCGGTCTTTATAGCACTAACGAAACTTTAATGACTGATGACAGATTTAAAACTTTTTTTTTTTAAAAAAAATATTTTTTAATAAAAATTTTATTGTAACTCAGCCAGAATATCTGGTAAACCGATTTTATATTCGAAAGAAATTTTAATAATCATGTATATACGAACAGATTTATATATTTACTGGGGTGAAATTCAGCTTCTACCGGTAATTTTTTGTACTTAATTACAATTAGAAGCCAGGATTTATTAGGATTCTATTGAAATGACCAAGAATTTGTTTTTTTCTGAAAAATATGCATTTTTCGGATCGATCATTTTTTGGATCGATAATGGAACGATAGTCTGGAGAAAGCCGGGATATGCTTTTCAAAAATTTTTTATAGAGATGATCACAATCTATATAATAAAATATATTATTGCATGCCAGTATCAAGTCATTCAGGTCGGCCAGATCGGAATACTAAATGCAACGGTATACAATGAACTTATAAATGAATATAATTACATTTGAAACTGGCGAGCTGATTGATCTATAAATTATGTGTAGGTGCTTGATCTTGTTAAAGTCTACAATATTCTTACAACAAGAGAAATGTTTAAAACTATTGATTCAAATTTCATTATATGCAGAAAATTAGATACTTAAAGAAAGTGTAACGTCTTCTAAGAACATGGATGAGTGAAATAAAATAATTTCTACTGGTGATAAATTAAAAATAGCTTTAATTAGTAAAAGTTTATGTCGCAGTCTTTGTGAAATGCAAGTTTTT